CCTTTTTATTGTATTTATCTGATGTGGAAGAAGGTGGAGAAACCATGTTTCCTTTTGAGGTGAGTTCAAGGTTGTTTCTTCTTTATTGGACCATTATTATCTTTCTCCCTGTACTGCTCTGTAAATTAGTTCATTTGGTTAATTTACAGAACGCACAGAACATGGATGCTAATTATGACTTCCGCAAGTGTATTGGTTTGAAAGTGAAGCCGCGTAGAGGGGATGGACTACTGTTCTACTCACTGTTTCCAAATGGTACAATTGATCCAGTGAGTTATTCTTGTGGATTTCATTGTTATCCTTGCACTTCTATTGTCTTCATAACAATATACACGTCTTTACAGCAAGCAGTGTTTTTCGCCTTTTACTTCTTTATATCCTATGTCGTCTCAAGTATACTTTGACTTTTGTGCTTTTGTTTGTGTCTTTGTGTGTTTTCCTATTTCCTTCTGTGGGAATCATTCTTGAGCAATCCTATTACCATGATGCTATGAAGATGTTTGTTGATGAGGGTTGATTTTGTACTGCTAAAATGATTTGTATTACTGTGATTAATCAGCTGAATGAGAGCCCTATTAGCTACTGTCTCATTGTGTGGATACTGATGGGGAAGGTTATATAATATTGTTTTGCTATATTACTGTTCCTGTTTCGGTTGCTCCTTACTGCTTCATCTTCTGTGGATACTGATGGGGAAGGTTATAATATTGTTTGCTGTATTTCTTCTTTCCCTCTGTGGCTACTACTTGTTATAAAGCAGAATATTCGTTACCAACATTATGTCATACTGCTCATGTTGGCACTGCAAAATTTTCACATTTCTAACACTCTAATGCAGACATCTCTTCACGGGAGCTGTCCAGTAATCAGAGGCGAAAAATGGGTTGCTACAAAGTGGATCAGGGATCAGGAACTTGATGAATAAACAAGGAAGTGTAGTCCACAAAATTCTTTGGTTATTTAATATTTACTAGGAGTTTGAAACGAGTTCTGCGGTAAATATATTTATAGAGGTGNAAAAAAAAAGTCACCCTATCTAGCAGTAAGAAAGTCTAATTGTAGAGTAACATCTTACAGTAACCACTGCTTGTGCTAATCACCTTTGCTACCCTGCAGCCAGTTACTGAAAATGATTAATGAGGCTTTTTGAGTGAACAAGGACTTTAATTGGTGTAATGCCTGTAATGTAAATAGAGGTTTCAGGGCATTCCCTAATCATAGGAAGTAGGGGTGTATAGAGGAAACCGACAAATCGTACCAACCCGATAATCCGAGTCAAACTGAGAAAAAAAAATCTGACTATGGTTTGATTTGATTTGGTTTGGTGTTGGAAAAAAAAATCCGACCATAATTGGTTTGATTTGGTTTTAACCAAAGAAAGTCAAATCGAGACCAAACCAACCCGACATTACATATATAGAAATTTTAGATATATTTAATATATAAATATATTTATTGTTATGTAATTTATAAATATTTCTTAAAACTTTTCATAATTTTATCTTTTAAGGTATTATTTCAAGGCTGGACTTAAAACTTTTGAATGTTCCAATAAGTTTTATAGCCATTAATATTAGTAAATTAAATAATGCTAAAAAAGCCCAAACCAAAATCAAATCAATACTAGTGCTAACAAAAGACATTCAATTCAATACTACGAATGAGAATGTATTGAATATCTATTTTTTGTTTTGCAATAATTTTGGATAAAAATGCATAACCTATTTTTATTTTTTCTTTAGCGTTTAGTCATGTAATTAATACTCCCTTATTAGTCTACTTATTTTAACACGACTTAGTACTTTTAAATTATGTTTATTTTTATTATGGCTTTTTAATTAGCAATATTTATATTACATAATTTTATTGTCTTTATTGTTGAATATTTTAGGATAATGCCATGACACATCTCATATTTTATATTATTTTCTTGTAAGATACTTTATATAGTTGCTTTTTACTAGGATTAAAGAAATATTTTGAGCACAACTTATATGTTTTGTTCTACGAAGATTTTACCGGAAAAAACCCGAAAAAACCCGAATAACCCGAAAACCCAAGAAAACCCGGAAAAAATCGAAATTGAAAAACCCGAATTTTATTGGTTTGGTTTGGTCTCTAGATTTAATAACCCGACACAATTGGTTTGGTTTGGTAATTATAAAATCCGAACCAACCCGACCTATGTACACCCTTAATAGGAAGTGTAATGCTGGTAATTACTTTATTCAAATCAAGCGTCTTATTAAATGTTCCCTTTCAAAACGGCCTTGTTATTAGGAGCTTGTTTGGATGGGCTTAAAAGCTGGTCAAACCAATTTTTAAGTTATTTTTTAGCTTATTGAGATGTTTGGCAAACTTAAAATCTGCTTAAAAGTCAAATGCTTTTAAGCCAAAAGGTCCAAATTAAGCCAAGAGTGATAAGTTGGGTAATTCCAACTTTTTTTTTTCTAGCTTAAAAGTCACCCCTCTTTGTCCAAGTATTTTACATTACTATCCCTGATACTTATGTATAATTCCAAAATACCCAATCATTTCTTTTTCTCCTTTCCTCCGCCATTTTCAATCCCTGTCTTCCAAATTGCATAATCTTTTCTTTTTCTCCTTTCCTTTGCCATTTCCAATTTGTGCCCTTTCAAATTCCATCACTGCCGAATTCTTTGTTTTGTTTTAGTTTCTTTTTTGGTTCCATAACATTTTTTTAAAAAAAGATTGTTGTTGAATCCTTTTTTTTTTTTAAATTGGTGAAACTATATTCTAAATCAAAATTTTCAATGTGTCTACATGTTAACAAAGAATTCGAAGCTATGAGATGAAAAAATATATTTTGGTGAATAATAGATTATTGCATGTTATTTAAATAAATAATTTATATTTTGGGCAATCAGTTTAAATTGAAAATGAACTAAATCATAATTTTTTTGTAATGTATTAATTTAGAATAAAATATTATCATAATCATTTTCTTTATAGCGTTAACAACTTTAAGGATATTTCAGTTATTTTACAGAAACAAGTGCTTACCAGCACTTATTTACCAAACACTTCAATAACTTTTTTTAAGTTTCAGCACTTTTATCCAAATACTTAATTGCTTATTTATAAAACAAACTCCAACACTTAAAAAGTGCTTTTAAGCACTTATACTTAAAAATCACTTTTTTTAAGCCAATCCAAATTGTTTTACAACATTCGTCTCAAACGGCGCTCCCCCTCCAAATATGTGACACGTGGACTAAATTTCCACACTAAATGTAAGGTGTAAAATTAATGATTTGTAGTAACATATAGACAAAACGTTCTTTACTCCCGTTCTCTTGAGGAAGTTTGGCGGGACATATAGAGTGCCAAGCATACACTCGAAGGACTTGAAAACATAGAGTGCCAAGCATACTCCCTTTTATCTCTTTCTGGAAAATATTCCATTTTCATTTAATTTTGCTGACTATTTGAGAAAACGCTAGATGAATGGATAAATAGTCTCTCCGACTACATGCATCAAAGTTCCGATGTTTATGATGGATTTATGGTGCAAGCAAAAACAAAAATTCTCTTCGTCCAGAAACATGTTTTATAGTAAGATTTTTTAAACTTAATATGTATTAGAGATATGTATTCATTTTCATAACTCTATCTCCCTATTCTAATAGAATAAAAAGTATTATAAACAGCTAATTTTTTATTTACCTTGGTAATAATCTAATTTAAATTTTATGTAATTCCTAAGTACTAAAATGAGCTTAATTCTTAATCAGTGAATTAATATTTGGATTGACTTAACGATTAAACAGTTTGACCTAAGCAACATCTCGTGTGTCTTGGTATATAAAAGGGAAAAGGGCTAAATATACCCCAATCCTTTGGAATGTTATCTACATTTATCTTATCATTAGCAAACTTTTAACAATAACCCTTGATCTGTTAGGCAATTCAATATCTCCCAATTTTTTTTTATTTAAATCACTTGTTGTTTTTCTTGCTCCACTATTTTCAGAAATTACTATTGATGTGAATGCTAAAGGTACTACACTATACAAATTATTTATGGATATTTTTAATTACCATTGCACCCATTTCTCTTCTTGTGATAATAAGTTTGGAATTGGTTTAAAATTTTATTTATTTTTCAATCATATACACACTGCAAAATTCAGTGGGTCTATTTATTGTGTATTGTATGTAGATGTTCATCATGTATATACATGTATATACGAATATATTTTGTTATTATCTAAATAGTACAGAGTTCGATCGACTAACTTAAGAGTGCACAACGATCGACAATTGATTAAAGTAAAGTTGAATTCGACAATGTAAAATCTCCAAGGAACTTCAACTTCTATCACTAATACACATATATGCCATGGTTCCTTACTTCGACAGGGTACAAATATCTAAATTGCAAAGTCTCCATATCTTTAATTTGGTGCAACAAATTCATTAAAGTTGCGGTGTTGTAAATACTTTTGGAATTTAGACAAGCTATCTAATTTAGATTTTTCAATTTACCATACTTTGTTTACTGGCCGTTGTATAATTTTAATATTTCCTTTTCTTATTTTTTTTCAATTAAGAAAGTAGGTAAATATAAACTATTTTGAAAATAGTGAATCAAGAAGAAGAATAAGTGACTTAATTAAAATAATTTGGGAGATAAGGGGTAAATTTTAAAAGTTTATTAATGGTAAAGGTAAATTTGGCAGGATAATATAACAATAAAGGTAAATTTGACTGAATAGCATAATGAAGATTAGACGTAGACAATATTCGAAAATAGACGGGTAAGTTTAAACCTTTTCCTTATATAAAAGGAGCAATTTACAATTCCAAGGAACAATCTTGCAGCAAAATATAATTGGCTGAGCATGGACGTAGCTTTGCATTAAGGAAATGCTTACACCTCATCCAACTTCCTGACACGAAAACAACACGCGTCAACACCATATCATAAAAAGAAAACTTATATATGCAAACTAGGAAGCCAATGGAAAGGCCAAAAATAAATGCAAAGTTGATTTGACAGAGCAGATAAAGAGAAAGAGATATAATAAAAGAAGAAGTGCAAAATATATGGAGAAAAAAGAAATGGAGAGGCAACCAGATAAGGAATCAGACAAGAGTAAGTTAGAAGGTTTGCCAGTAGATACAAGTCCTTATACTGTGTATAAGGATTTGGAGGATTATAAGAAACAAGCGTATGGAACACAAGGACATCAACAACCAAATCCTGGCCGTGGTGCTGCTAGTTCCACCGACGCGCCGACACTCTCCGGTGGTGGATCTGCCTCTGCTCACTCTCAGCTTTCTGCTACTAATACCATCAATCGCCAGGGTGTCCCTTAATTTGCTTAATGTTTAGTTGTCATAGGCAGATCTAGAACAAGTTTTACGAGTTCAACTGATCTCATTACTTTCCGATTTAAATAAGGAAATCGCATGTAACTATGTATACATATATGAAAATAAAGTTTAAAATTATACATATAATAAGAATTTTAGGTTTTTGTTGCAATGTTGAATTTCGCGTGCCCACCCGGGATTATAAGAAAATCTTACCATCATGTTAACAACAAATGCAATATCAGGCCTTGTACAAATCTGTATGTACATCAAACAACCAACAACACTTGCATATGATATATCTTTCATGATTCTTATTTCAATTTCATTTTTCGGACATTGATCTTTACTAAGTTTATTCCCTTTTATAACAGGTGCAACACGAGGTCTACAATCTTGCATATTGAAAGTTTTATGAACACTCTTAATGTAGGAACACTATGATAAACCCAATAAATCACGTAATATATCTCTTTTAATTTCTATCCCAAAAACAAAAGAGATTTTATCAAGATCTTTCATATTAAAAGACCTAGATAAAAATTATTTGATCTCATTCATCAAGCCCAAATTATTTGTGGTAGGCAGAATATTATCTACATAGAGAACCATAATAATGAAACTACCATTAGCTATTTTAAGATAAATACATTCATCAAGCTTATTTTTTACTACCATTAGCTATTTTAAGATAAATACATTCATCAAGCTTATTTTTTATAAATTCAAATTTTGTATAATTTCATCAAATTTCAAGTACCACTGTCCAGAGGCTTGTTTCAACCCATATATGAATTTGTTAAGCTTGCACACTAGATGTTCTTTACCAGCTTCTGTAAATCCTTCAGGTTGAACCATGTAAACTTCTTCAAGCAGACTCCCATTCAGGAAAGCAGTTTTAACATCCATCTGGTGCAACTCTAAATTAAAATGAGCCACAAAAGCCATCACAAATCTAAATGCATCCTTGGATGAAATAGGAGAAAGTGTTTCTTTATAATCAACACCTTTTTTTTGAGTGTAACCCTTAGCAACCAACCTTGCTTTATAATGGTCTATGTTTCCATTGGAGTCTTTTTTAGTTTTAAACACTCATTTGTAACCAATAGATCTAAAATCTACATGCAATTCAGCTAACTCCCACACTTTATTGTGTTCCATGGAGCGCATTTTATCTTCCGTTGTGTCACGCCATTTATCAACAAATGGAGAGGAAATAGCTTGAGCATATGATAAAGGATCTGTCAGCTCTCCAGTATCACTAAGATTTTCAATCACATACATGATAAAATCATCAGAGATGTCACTCTTTGTGACATGCGGAGTGATTCATTATGTACATTTTGCTCAAGAACTATGTGATCTGCATCGTTGTTCCCTTGATTCTCCCCCCTCATGAATAGGTTGGTTTACCACCTTTTCATGTACAACCGGTACATGGACAATGACTTCCTTCTCTTTCAATACAATTTCCTTACCACATGAACAATCACAATCACAAACAACATGCTCAAGAAATTTTGCATTAATAGACTCAACGATTCTAGTGCCACGCCAAGGATAGAAAAACCTAAAACCTTTAGAGTGATCAGGATCGCCTATAAAGAAACAACTGGTAGTTTTAGGATCAGTTTTCTTTTCTGTGAGTGAATAAATACGAACTTCAGCTGGACATCCCGAAATGTGAAAATGATTCAAGCTAGGTTTTCGAGTTGTCTATAGTTCAAAAGGAGTTTTCAAGACAGGTTTTGTAGGAACTCTATTCAAGATATAGCTAGCTGTTTTTAAGGCTTCACCCCAAAGATGCTCAAGTAGCCTAGTCCTTGACATCATACTTCTCACCATTTCCATGAGAGTACGATTCTGTCTTTCAGTCACACCATTCTACTCAGGAGTACCTGACATTGTATATTGTGCTACTATCTCATATTCTTGCAAAAATAAAGCAAAAGGCCCCATACATTGACCACACTCATCATATTTTCCATAGTACTCATCACCACAGTCAGACCTCAGTATCTTAATGGACTTTCCAAGCTATTTTTCAACTCCAGTCTTGTAAATTTTAAACTTATCAAGTGCTTCAGATTTTTCTTTTAAAATATATATATAACAGTATCTTGAAAAGTCATCAATAAAAGTAATGAAGTATTTATGATTGATGAAGGTAGGTACATAAGGTCCACTAATATCAGTATGAATAATTTCTAAGAGTTCAGAGTTCCTAGTGGAACCCTTTCTCTTAACCTTGGTCATTTACCCTTAACACAATTCACACAAGTTTCAAAATCTTTTGGATCAAGAAGGTAAAATATTTTCCTTTACCAATCGTTCAATTTTTTCTTTACAAATATGACCAAGGCGCCTATGCCATAATAGGTAAGACGTTTTACTCATAACAGACCTTTTATAGGCGATATTTTCAACGTGCATTGCAGAAAAATTTCACCCAAACATTCAAGCGATATAGACCATCACTTAAAAGGCATCAGCAACAACATATGAATCATAAAACTTTTTAATAATACCATTATTTTGTTGAAATGAATAACCAGCTTTGTCCAAAAGGGAAACCGAAAGTAATTTCCGTCTCATAGACGGTACAAAAATAATATTTTCAAAATGAATACTTGCATTATTTTTAGAAGGTAAAATAGATGTCCCTGTAGAGTACTTTTGCTTTGAGTCTATTGCCCACAACAACACTGGCTTCATTCTCTTTTGGCTTCCGTCTGCTTACTAGATCCTGTAAGTCATTGGTTACATGAACAGTTGCACCACTATCCAACCACCAGAAATTTAAAGGAACATGAACAAGACTAGTGTCACGACCCAAATTCCATGGTAGGTCGTGATGGCGTCCAACACCGTTGTTAGGCAAGTCAACCCTAACCAATTAGTGAGTTCTCAATTATTTTATTTAAACAATCCCATCATTTAGTTAACTTGAATTTAACGCAAGTGATATTAGCAATTCATAATGACAAATATACAACCCAAAATAATAGTCTACAATGTGTGTGTCAGGAACTAGTATCACAAGTGCTAAGGCAACTAGTAGAATATACAAAAAATATAATTATCCTACTACGCGAAATAGAATAGACAGTAATCACAAAAGAGGAAACTCCGACATGCTGTTGAATGGCTCGGAAGGGGGCAGCTCATCGTGAAATCTCGGTCAAGGATCAGGGATGCGCGTCGGCCGAGTAACTAGATGCACCTGCCTCAGATCCTGTACAATTAAGTACAGAAGAGTAGTATGAGTACATAAACAATATGTCCCCAATAAGTATCTAGTCTAACCTCGAAGAAGTAGTGACGAGGGGTCGACTTGACACTTACTAGGGTCAATAATATGATAATAGGAAGTTCAATAATTCCAATTCACAATGTACATAGGTAGAAACAAGTTCAAATAAGAAATAATAGTGAAAGTCCTCTCATCAGTCAATTAATCTAGGCATTTCCTTCTTTTAAAATAAGTAGTCTTTCAAACAATAAATCATACAGATTATAAGAGGTTCCAATTCCATTATCACACATTTTCCACCGAGGACATTCAGCCCGATCCAACATAAAAGTAAAATATGCTCTGACGAGGGTCGAACGGTCCGAACCATATTTATATACAATTACCAACCTGCCGAGGCGATCGGTCCGCTCCCATGAGAGTAATGAAAATAATTACCCTGTGCGCGGAATATACTTGCGACGCGGTTAAGTATAAATACAACTTAAATGTTTCTTTAGTTCCTTTCAAAATAATTATTTACTTGAAATCCTTGAAATCATAACATTCTCAATGCAATTTCAATCAATGCAATTCAACAATTTATAATCATGTAACAATATCCACAAAGCATGGTGTAAGCCTAGAACTACCCAGACATAACAGGAATAGTAACCACGTACGGACTCTCGTCACTTCGTGCGTACGTGGCCTCCCACAATCAGATCACACATTAATTAAGTTCATCTATGGGGATATTTCCCTCTTACAAGGTTAGAAAAGAGACTTACCTCGCTTCACGACCTACTTTCCTATCCAAGCTTAAGCCCAAACCCTCAATTTGGTGCCAAACACTCCAAAACTATCCAAAGAGAATAAAAACTAATCAATATAGGCTTAAAAGTTCATATCCGAACCATTAGACTGATTTCCCAATCTAAATTACAAGATTTCTAAAATTCGTCCCAAGGCCCACGTGCTCAGACTCCGAATTTTTTTGAAGAAAGTTGTTACCCATAGCCTAAGGATCGAGAATATATGATTTTTACTCCATTCCATAACAAATTTCGTGGTTAAATCTTGTTTTTATCAAAACCTTAGGTTTTTACTCAAATCCCATGATTTTCACTAATTTTTGTATGTTAATCCACCCAAAATCCAAGTATTAAACCCACATTAAGTAGAAATAACTTACCTCACAATGCTAGATCGAAATTTCCTCTTTGAAAGCTCCCAAATCGCCTAAGTGTAGAAGCGAAATAAAACAAATGGCCTAAGCCCCGTTTTTAAAAGCTGTGTCCAGGCCTCTGATGTCACATTTGCGACATTAGGTTCGCAAATGCGACAAAACGATCGCAAATGCGAACTGGGCCTCCCTCTGCCTTGATCGCAAATGCGACAGAAGGGTCGCAAACGTGAACCCTATTGGATTCGCAAATGCGACCATTACCCCAAGCCAAGCTTCATCGCAAATGTGATGCTTTCCTCGCAAATGCAATGTTCGCAAATGCGAACATTTCCTCGCATTTGCGAGACCTGTAACCTTGCCGAGAAACACCAGAAAACTGGGGTGTTTTTCACTCCCAACCCCTGTCCGAAACTCACCCGACCCTCCGGGATCCACTCCGAATACTCACAGAAGTCCAACAACATCGTACAAACTTGCTCGAGCAATCAAATCGCCAAAATAATATCTAAAACTACGGATTTAACACCAAAACGCATGAAATCCTTAAGAACATTTAAAATTTCTATTTTTCCAACCGGACGTCCGAATCACGTCAAATCAGTCCCGTTTCTCACCAAATTTCACATGCAAGGCTTAAATGCTATATTGGACCTGCATTTGGCTCCGTAACTAACATACAAGCCCGATACCAACATGATCAAACATTATTCAATTTCTTTAAATCCTTAGACTTTCAGTTTAACAATTTTAAA